CTTCTTCTTCTTCTTCTTCTTCTTCTTCTTTGGTGTTTAAGGGCGGTTGGCATCTAAATTTTTGCATTACCGTATAGCCAAGGGTTTATATCTGCCTTGGTGAAACTATAAAATAATAAACATGGAGGCTCCAGTAACTTAAGGACGACTTCTCCCATTTTCCCAGTCAAAAGCAAACATTGCATATACCACTTCCGCTCTTTCACTCTTCACAATAAGAGCCCATAACAGGAAACTCAAAATCATCAGTCATAGGTTACACTAGTATCTACTGTACTCTTATTACAAAAAGAAAAAAAGACCCCCCCTCAATAAATAAATAAATTAAATAACATTTCCCTACATCCCTCATCGCATAGGCTGTTATATTTAATTGATTGTCCAAATGTTTTTTTCATTGCAGTGTATGAATACAATTTTTTTATTAGTTCTGTCCAGTGATCTAAGACAGATTAAAATATACTACTATCCTCTATTAAATGGAGTTGAATGAATGCATATGATGTTTCGTTTGTCAGTTATTACGGGGATCTTTCCAGGCTTTCTATCGTTTGTATGGGTTGTTGTGGATGCTGTATCACCACCCGGAAATATTTTACTCACTCTGTTAATGTTTTCTTTTAATGATATCTTGTCAAGTTTTGGGCATGTGGGCTGAAGTACACCCGAAGTAGAAACTTATCGCAGGTAGATGTTTTCTACACCCTAATATCACAACCCTAACCCTAACTTAGACTTAGACTTTACAGAGAAAAACATTAGATTGTTAGTATGGAAATAAACCTTAATATAATGACCTACATGTTTAATTACCGACATTGAATGTGAAAGTACATATAGGCTAAATATAAAATTAATAAGATTTACCATTAATTTACAGAGAAAAACATTAGATTGTTAGTACGGAAATAAATTTTAATATAACGAGCTACATGTTTAATTACAGACATTGAATGTAAAAGTACATATAAATGTAAAACTAATAAGATTTACCGTTAAATTACAGAGAAAAACATTAGATTGTTAGTATAGAAAAAAACCTTAATATAACGAGCTACATGTTTAATTACAGAGAATGAATGTAAAAGTACATATGAATATAAAAACAATAAGATTTATCATTAATTTACAGAGAAAAACTTTAGATTGTTAGTATAGAAATAAACCTTTATATAATATGCTACATGTTTAATTACAGACAATTATTGTCATTTTACATAAATTTGACTGTAATTTAAGAAAGCAGAAAGATGATGTATAATTAATACAGTAATTTTTACAGTAAAAAAATGAGAAATAAACATAGTTTGTCACTACTGGCATGACACTTTAAAAAAACAGGTGGGTTCTTAATTTACAGATAATATCTGTAATTTTACAGTTTTGTATACTATTTTTAAAAGACAGAAAACTACTGTAAAAATTTAAAGTTATTTACCGTAAAATTAGGAATTTTTTTTACAGTGTAGGTTAGCAACATTGTTAGCAACATTGTGTCCAACCTGCTAAATGTCTTGATCTTTGTCTCCAGGGTTCTGTTCCAGCTGTTTTTCCTCTCTTTCTCTTCTCTGGCTTGTTGTGCTGACTTCTGTATTCAAGTTATTTACTATTTTTCAGTGTTTATCTTATTTCTGAACAAAAAACAATAATTGTTCAGGAGCTATTCTTAAGCATGTCTGCTCAGTTCGTTACCATAGTAATCTCTCTAGTAGCAGTCTCTGTCTCTCTCTCTCTCTCTGTCTCTCTCCTCTGAGCTCCTTCACCTCCTTTGACAGAGAGGTAAGTTCTCTCCTGTGCTCCTCTCTCTCTCCTCTGAGCTCCTCCACCTCCTTTGACAGAGAGGTAAGTTCTCTCCTGTGCTCCTCTCTCTCTCCTCTGAGCTCCTTCACCTCCTTGGAGAGAGAGGTAAGTTCTCTCCTGTGCTCCTCTCTCTCTCCTCTGAGCTCCTCCACCTCCTTTGACAGAGAGGTAAGTTCTCTCCTGTGCTCCTCTCTCTCTCCTCTGAGCTCCTTCACCTCCTTTGACAGAGAGGTAAGTTCTCTCCTGTGCTCCTCTCTCTCTCCTCTGAGCTCCT